CGGGGGGGGGGGGGGGGGGGGTGTACTCATAGTCGTGCATGCCGTAGTCGTTTGACCATTGACCTCGCATCCCTACAAAGCCGGGACGGAGCACGCCGGGTTCTCACCGGACCAGGCTCTCACATCACCAAGCGCGAAGCGCCGTGAGGTATTTGGCGAGTCGCATGAAGGGTGAGCTGCATCCTGCTAAGGGTGTTCGGCATCTTGTGCTTACTTCCTTGCGTACGGATGACAGCTACGTAAATTTATTTTCTGGTGCTTTCACTTCCAGAGACAGTTGTAAGCACTATGTAACTGCCTCGAGGAAGCTTGACCATTTTAACACAACGTGGTACGATCATCCCCCGTTGCGCGGAGTGAGGTTTCTCGACCCCGCACAACATGATCTACTCGACCACCATTATGGTTACCGCCAAAAAAAAAAACGAGGTAAAAAAAAAAAAAACGGTAACCTGGTTGCCGAGTTCACGAAGTGAATTGGCTTGTTTTACAACGTCGTTGCCAAGCGACGAAAACCCAATCCCGATGGCAAACACCGAGTGGGGGGCTTGTTTTACAACGTCGTTGCCAAGCGACGAAAACCCAAACCCCGATGGCAAACACCGGGGGGGGGATCAGCGTGGGGGGGGAGATCTTTCTCGCCCTTTGAGGTGAGGGTGAGAGAAAACGGGAAAGAGAGAGAACCACACAGACCGCCTATTGCACAAAAGCAGGCGCTTTAGTTCTTTTTATCTACTGGTTCAATGGGCCCCTCTTAGCTGTTGTGTAGAGGTAATTTCTCGACGATGTACTGTGGCTTAGCTTTCTTTTCTCTACTCTGTCCCTTCCACTGCTGTCCCATGTAGCCATGCTAACAGATGTGATGGCCAGCCTCGCGCGCTCGTGCGAGCTTGAACACGAATTCAACTCGAGGATGTCAGCGGAAGACCCAGATCACGACAGGGACATGAGCGGGTATCAAGCACAAGTGATGAAGGTCAAGGCAGAGGAGAAAGCGACGAGACGGGCTGCTCAGGTGTGTTTGAGCGACTCATGATCACCCGAGGGTACGGGTTTGATAAATATCAAAGACTTGGTGAGTCGTAACAGGACGAGAGAAACGAGATACCTCTCTGTTTCTAAGCGGCGTGGGCCCTCTTCAGGTTGGGGGGGCAAGGTCGACAAGCACGAAATGTGTTGGGAAGTTTGTGCGTGGGTCGTCAAGAATTATCGTCAGATTTTCGGCTGCGGTGAACGCCTCTTCTGTTAGTCATCATGTCGCCCGGTTGCATGTTGAGCGGACCCTGTGCTTTCCGTCGTTTGCAACACATGTTGTGGCTTAAACCATTTGTGTGTGTTTCCTTTTATTCTAAGTATCGTTCCACAATCATCTAGCTGAGACGAGTGTGTCGCTTTCGATCGCGATATGGCCTCACTGTACCGTCCTGATGCTCTGACTCCGTACCGCCATGCCTTCTTGTCGAACAAAGTCGTGACGTATAAGTCCAGTGCCATGTCATGATACCATGTACCGTGTCGCAACCTGTCACCTGGTGACGGCATGACTCCGTGCACACCCATGCATCGTGTTTCAGGACCTGGAAGAGGAGTTGGAGGCGAAGGAGGCGAAAGCGAAGGAGGACCGGCGGAAGAGGGCGGAGGCAGACAAACACAAGCTCTTCGCCGACTCTTTGGCCAGCAGGTAATATCCGGGTCGGGCATGGATAGAGGACCGACAACACCAGCGGTGGTTGCAAGCCAGGGTTAGAGTAGCCAGATTTCGAGCGTAGCGGCGGCATGTACGGAACCAGGGGGAAACAAACACCAGCGGGAGGGGGGCTGTTATTCTGGCTTCGGGTTGTGCATAGGGTTGAACGAGAACATGCGAGGGCGAGAGGGATAGTTTGAAGAACGGCCGGGGCACGGAAAAACTCCTCAATACTCGCATGTCGCGTCATACAGTCGTTTATTCATGTCTGCATTGTAGTTGGTCGCCATGCGCCAATCAATGTTGTTGTC